ATTCTAAAGCACAAATTCCTTTAAAAAAAAAAAAACCCAAACCCAAAAAACACCCCCCGCCCCCCCAAAAAAAAAATTCTGACAGAATTAATTTCTGCATCAGAGACATCAGGTCTGACCTATGCCTCTACTTAAATTCCAGTGGATTGCCCTCCCTGTTAGTAGGGAAAGAGGGCTGCTTTTTCGTTTGCCACTTGCCACATTTTGCTATTGCAGATTCAGCAACTGTAAGTATTATCTTTTACTAAATAATTGGGTATGGTTAAGTGAGAATCCTTAAGAGTTGAGTGTGTTTTTTGCTTCAATCTCCCCACGCAACAAGGTGCCTATACTGTGGTGCCACCTGGGGGTAAACTCAGATGCAACATCACACATACACTGCCTCATGCATTCAGCAATGCAACAGGGACCGTTTGGTTAGCCCGCATTTCCATAGTACCTACCCGTAGGTAAGCACCACTGGCATAACTATAGAGAAGTTATAAAGGGTAGCAACTCAGCTTACTGTAACGTGGTTTATCTCTTCCTAACAGGTAATGTTTTCATGAGATGCCATCAGGGAGGGAAGAATGCCATTATTTCTCCCTGCTTTTACAGTCTCTTAAAAATTGATTCTCAGGTCTACAGTACTCAGCATAAAAATTCTTTTAGCCAGTTATAGCAGTCGATCATTTCAGCTAAAGGTAATAATTTCACATGCACCTCATTGCATGGAGAATGTCATAGGCTGCATTAAACCTCACCTGCCTGAGGTTTCCAAGGGTAGGACATGAAGTCAGCTCCCGGGGAAAGCATCTACGCACCGACGGCAATTTCAGGAGCTGTACAGTCAGGAGAGACATGACCAGGAACACGAGAGCCTCACTGACAGAGCAGATCTCTGCTGCTTTACAACAGAGGTCTGACTAGGGCAGCAAGAGCTGTGGGTGTACCGTCTGAAGCTACTTTATTCTGCTCTGAAGCGTTCAATTCTGAAAGAGTTCTTGTCGTATCCAGAATTAACAGGTATCTCATGGCCTTCCCTTTTGACCTCCTTTTACCCTTCCAGACTACTAGGAAAGATTACTCACTGGAGCTTATTCAACAAGCTTTTCTCTCCCAACATGCTATGACAATAAGAATCACAGCTGCAATTAAAGAACAAACAGTTTTCCTTCAGGTAATTCAGGAGATAAATTTGTGAGGTGGAGCCACATTGGCTGAGCAAA